TACTACCTTACTAATAGTTGTGTAGTATATACTGTATGCATACTGTGCATAATGTGCAAATTTGTAACAAATAAGCTCAAGACATTTTTACTCAGCATGAATTAATCTAACAGCCGATCACACGGCAGAAATAAATGTGATGACAGGCAGTTAGTGCATATGTGGCTAATAGGTCTGCATGTTCTGTGTGTCTAGTGCCGTAGTTTCATGTACTACACAAACTCAAACACAAGTGACACTCACGGTGTTTCAACGTCTGCATCTCAATATGACGGCACATGAACACAATAACTTCATCTCCAGAGCTGCTGAGAGTCACTTCAGCAGCTTTACACCATTTCACTTGAGAAAAACTACCGTCAAATACATACACAAACTCAAAGATCTTTGCGATAACCCATAAAAATAAAAGTTGAAGAAATTCTGACAGAAACATATTATTATTGGATACTAAAGTGTACATATCAAAGTAATAATAATAGTATTTGTAAGGAATATCACACAACTAAGATTTATTTTTCATTCATGTTTAGGGTTGGGTATCATTTGAATTTGATCAATTCCGATTCCGCTTATCGATTCAGATTCTTTTCAATTCCCAGTTTCAATTCCAATGTGATTAAATAATGATATCAAACATTTATCCTCTGTCTCTTTTTTGCCAAACCATTTATTGGAGCTGAATACCAACAAAAATCAACAGGCTACATAAAAACTGGACTCTTTAAGAGCTGTTTGTGTGCAAAATACAACTGCATGACTCTGGACAAATTTAGTTGTTGTTTTTTTTCCCCCCCAATGGAAGTTGTGGTTCTCTCATAATTCTGAAGAAAAAACATTAGACAACTAAACAAAATCACATGTAATTTATGAATTAATGTTTAAATGACTCACTCAAGATGTACTTGTTTCATTACTGGATGAATCAGCATTCTTGAACGAATCTCTTGTATGATTCAAAGACAAATACATTTTAACAGCCCCTTTTCGCCACCTACTGGCGTAACAATGTAATCGATAAATCTTCATTTGAAGTGTCAAATTACTTTCAAAAGGTGATTTACTCTATTTTAAACTTCTGTGATTTGAATGTTTGTAACAGAAATAATGATACTGTGTGGCTGAAAAGACTGTGAAGCGGTTTCATTCATGACAGATGACAGCTGCTCTCTTTAGGTCAAAGGCGGCGCGAACGCAGATTTAAACGTTCAAATCACACTGGTGTGATCGTACTCTGCATGGATGAACCAAGTGATGACAACATTGATCGCACATGTCAAAGGTTGAGGAATGAAAGAGACGAATCATTGTAATTTAGGAACAGAATCACGTTGGTGTTTGAATCATGTTCGCGATCTTTAACGATCTATTAAATTAAAGTGCTTTGTCATGTTGGTGGTGACACCTCTGTTGCAACATGTTTATCACAGATATTATACTTAGCTTTTTTGGCTTCTGATCGCAAATGTACTAGCCAAACTTTGGAGCACTTAGATTAGTGAGCAAGGTCCTGGCAGATCGCTAGGTCCGGTCCTCACAGATGATGGATGGATTTATGTGTGTGTATACTTATTAATATCTAAGCATAATTCTATTTCTAATTCTTTAATTTGAAGTTCAGAACATTTAAGACAGCAACATCACCCACTAGAGCACTGAGGAGCTTCAGGCTCAGTGTCTTGCGAGTGTGTGTTTATGTAAGACAGAAATGAGTCACAGTAACTCTCCTGTTCCAAGCCTGCAGCCACACACACACACACACACACACACACACACCATTGTTTGAGGTGGTTGTTTTAATATGACAGTCATGGGCTCACTGATAATTCATGAAGACTTGCAGATATCAACAGAGCCACAGCAAACACTCTGAATTGGATTGAGAAGCATTTTGTTATTTAAAACCTCTGATTAAACCAATTAATGTGACATTTTTTCAATTATTGGCACTGGAAAAGCAGATAGAAAATGATCAACCACAGGTTATTCTTTACATTCTATTAAAAAAAACTGATGACAGACTCATCCAGATCTGTAGCATCACATATCCAGCTCATGATGATAGCCCTACCAATCCTTCAGCCATTGATAAACCAAATCAGTCACATATTAAAATACATGGCCCCAGTTAGACTGCACTTCTGTGAATGTCAACTACAGTCAATCTGAACATATCTGATGTCTAAAATACAGCTATGAGGACCAGTTTGGATTAATAAGAATAAGACCGAAACTGCGGCTGGTTAAGAAAAAAGTGCTCAGATTCCCCACTGGCTCAAAATAGATTTAACAAAATAATAGCAAATAATAGCAAAATAGCTTTCATATCAAAATCAGAGTCAAGCAGGACTGTACAGAACAACACATGCAAAAATTAAACAAGCCACAAGGGAACCAATAAAGTGTGATCGGCACATTGGAAATCCATTACATTTCCAATGAGTAAAGTGGAAACAATGTCCCAATTCTGGTTGTGGTGTTCTGCTGCAATCTGTGATCAATTATAGCGGGAAAGAAATTGAGTTCACCCAATGGAGGAAACGGGACATCTCAATCCAGTGCTCGACTTTCTCACCCTCCAGATGGAAAATAAAAACAATCAGCAGCGGCCCTGCCCACGATGACGATCACATCTCTGACGTTTCCCGTCCTTCAATATATCTATCCATCCCTACTCACAGGGCAACAATGCAGATCTATCTGAAAAAGAGGCTAAACGGACAACACCAAGCGGAAAAAGTGAAGGCATTTTGCTGAGAAACTCTAAAAGGAGGGGAGATTTCTTAAGCAGATGTCTTTTGTCGACTAGCTGGAACGAATTTCAGCAGGCTAGTGGGACGTAACGCTTTCAAGAGGAACGATTTTTCAGGCTGCCTTTTTGACCTCAAACAGCAAGTAAAAGCCCTGACCGCAAGCATGTACAGCAATCCCTCGAATGCATCTTCTAATAAACAGAAGAGCGCACAGACACATGCCGCTAACCCCAAACACGCATCTCCACTGCCCTGGCTGGGCTCCAGAGGCAAGAGCTCAACAACTAGACACGTGTGGCTTCTATAAATGCATCCACAAGCTGGATGTGAACATGCGACGGGGTCGAGAGCTCGGCCAAAGAGCTCCACTGCCTTCACGGGACACAATTGATTGCTGATGATTGCTGAACAGGCCAAGAGGATGAAAAAATTGGTAGTGGAGCGAACAGAGATGGGACAGTAGGCTTGTGCAACTGCACAGTAAATAATTTTAAAGTAAATCATTTCTGTAGCACTAGCATCATCACATCATCAAAGACAAAAATTAGCTCATCTGAATAAATGAGGTGGGATAGGAAAACATTTTCACATAAGCATACATATACACATATACATTAAATAAATATAAAAAAAATAAAAATCCATATAAATTCACTAGCTGACCTGCCTAACGGACTAGTCAATTATTAAACAACGAGTCAAGAATCCCTGAGCCAGTCCTAACAGAGGGGTTAGAGTAAAGCAATAAAGTTCAGTCATTAACACGTCGAGCCACAAGGTGGATTTAGAGACACAGTCTGCCAGCAACCAAGACTCAAGGTGTGTGGTCCCACATCCCTGCCAGTGTATATGGCGCTCTCTGCCATTTCCTCGTGCTCACATTAAGCGCCATCTTTATTCAGCGAGCACTTACACGTTAAACAAGGAGAGCCATAAAAATCTTTTAAAGCCCCAAAAACAGCACAGATGCCCACAGTACACACCTTGTTTCCACGTGAGTGGAGTATAACAGGTCCTGCCAGCACTGAAGGCTGCAGGGAAGCATTCGGCACAAGAGCCATCTGCTTCACGGATGCCTTCCGTTAAACGATTTTTATAGCCCAGTGATACATGCACAGTCAAACAATGAGGTGGGATAGGAAAACATTTTCACATAAGCATACATATACATAGCTTTTATAAATAAATATAAAAAAAATAAAACTCCATATAAATTCACTAGCTGACCTGCCTAACGGACTAGTCAATTATTAAACAACGAGTCAAGAATCCCTGAGCCAGTCCTAACAGAGGGGTTAGAGTAAAGCAATAAAGTTCAGTCATTAACACGTCGAGCCACAAGGTGGATTTAGAGACACAGTCTGCCAGCAACCAAGACTCAAGGTGTGTGGTCCCACATCCCTGCCAGTGTATATGGCGCTCTCTGCCATTTCCTCGTGCTCACATTAAGCGCCATCTTTATTCAGCGAGCACTTACACGTTAAACAAGGAGAGCCATAAAAATCTTTTAAAGCCCCAAAAACAGCACAGATGCCCACAGTACACACCTTGTTTCCACGTGAGTGGAGTATAACAGGTCCTGCCAGCACTGAAGGCTGCAGGGAAGCATTCGGCACAAGAGCCATCTGCTTCACGGATGCCTTCCGTTAAACGATTTTTATAGCCCAGTGATACATGCACAGTCAAACATAGCATTCATATGGTGGTAGGAAATCCCTTCCGTCAACAAGACTGTCAATATCCCTCTTCATGAATATAATCATTTGAAGTATTCTTCCAAATAAATAGACTTTGCCTAAATAGAAGGAAAAAACAGTATGATTGTGACATGTGCTGAGATTATACATGTAAATACGCAATTTGCATTTGCTAAATAACCGAGAAATTAATAAAAAATGAAGGAACTGATCCAACCATGGAACAAAAACGCAAAGATCTGATCCTCTACTAATTCCTGTCATACAACATTTGGCCACTAACAGTCAAACTAACAGCCCCCACATGTCATTTCCTCTGAACAAGCACAGGCAAATGTTGTTTTGGTCAAGTGAATCAGTGGAATCAGCAACTGTAAGCCTCAGCTCTCAGAGATTTTATCACATTATGTGCATGTTTTTAAAAGTGATAAAACTTGTAAGCATGAGTTACCTTAAAGAATATCTCACCAGGTTGAGCGAAGAATTGATAGAAGCTATTTGGGAGATTAAACCGCCAAAAAATATTAAATAATCTTTAAACGGGACTTACTCTGATCGCTGCCGAGCTTCCATGCCATCTGGTAAGAAGAGCTTGATGGTCGACACTATACAGCCATGAGTGACTAAAAACAAGAGAAACATGAATTAGGGATGTATGTATGACACCAGTGGTTATACAAAAAAATATATATATTTTTTCATAACAAGAAACTACAAAGCTACAGGTTAACACAAACATGAACAGGCCATATGAGGCTGTCTAAGAAGCTTACATGTCTTAAAAAAAAAAGAGTGTTTTATGATCAAAAATATCCAGAGACTGATAAAAATTCCTGACGTTCTGATGAGACGCAGGCAAGTAGTGTCACAACAACGCAAAGACTTAAACACACAACACACAAATGTGACAGGAACCAAGGTTCCAAAGAAAACTGGAATCTAATTTCAATACTTCACCAGTTAAAATACAGGTTTTCTTGTTCATATGTACTTTCGTTTTGTTATGAAGTAATATTTGCCTTCATTCGTTCTAAAGGGTAAGTTACTTTGCATTTGTATCTGATTGTGAAAGCGTCCCATTGCATGTACTTGAGTTACAACACATCCAGAGCAGCAACCAGCCAGCGCACTTGGGTTTCAAAAGCCCATCTCTGCATTACAGCATCTGACAAAAGTGCAGTATGTAATGTAACAGGCTGCAAAATTAATAATATTACTTTTAGAAATGCACATTTGACAGTAGTTTGAGTTGACAGCAGTAGCTTGAGTTAGGATGCAGATGTAAATTTGTTCATTATCAAAAACTGTAACATCTGTAAAAACTGTAACAACCTCATTTTTATAATGGTGAAATTTGATTATTCTGACTGTTTGAGTTTTATTAATATTAAACATTGGTCTTCCGGATTCACATACATTTATATCATGATAACCATAGTTGAAACTTCAATACCATGATCAAAATGTTTCTGTATGGTTTCTACGTATTTGTATGAAAAACAGTAGTCTAAATACATTTAGTATAGCTAAATGCACAAACGCTATTGCTTAATCAAAGAAAAAATACTGTAATTATATTCTATTACTCCAGATTTTTGCCGGTTCCGATTATAGAACTATAACTGACAGCATATATAAACAAAAAAATCTACTTTTTTCAATGCAAAAAAATTATTTATATAATAAAGGAAATTATTAAACATTACAATTCCCCTAATCTGGACTAAGTTACAGATGTTCTATTACTTAAACAACTCTCAAAATAAAGTGCTCTGTGACTGGAAAGAGGTAGAAATTAGGGCTGTGCGATATGGACAAAAAAAACTATTGCGATTTCTTTGATCAATTTTGCGATTTCGATTTTAATCACGATTTTGACACACAGACATACTTTACAGTCATTAATGCATTGAGTGTGAATTTGAAGCATATTTCCAAAAGACCACAAACACAACATTTATCCATTATTTTGATTTCAAATCCAAACGTTGTTTCTGAAAATACTTTTTCAGCATTGTGATTCTCCTTTATCACAGTACAGTAATACAATCTTTCATAGACATTCACGTTTAAACTCAATAAATATAACTGTTTAACTACCACCACGAGTGCCATCTATTATTGCCTCGTTTATCTAAAAGTGCACTTTTCCTTGTTTTAAATCTAGCCAAAAAGCCACGTGTTGACTGTGAAACAGTAGACTTTAATTATATGCATTTATGGTGTAATTACTAAATTTCCATGTCAATCCATGTTAATTTTTACAGCGCATTATTCGCGGTACAAATTAACATGGATTGACACTTTAATTCAGCGCATGCAGCACAGCAGAAATAGACTGTGTCGAGCTCGTCCGTCCGCACTCATCCGCGGTTGCGCGAAACGGAACGCGGAAAGTGAAGTGTATATGGCGGGTCCCGGGTCTACAGACTCCGTGCGGAAACGATCGCCACATGGCTGCTGCAGACGCACCGCTCCTGGAGCGCACTGCCGGACCGCAATCGTGTGCAGTGTGAACGCTCTGATCCGTTAACATGGGCGCGGACAAAATACGCACCACAGACGGAGTGTGTGAACCTGGTGTTATTGTTTGTATGCCTGCCCGGTCTGTTCTGTTCTCGTGCTCCATTTAGGAGCGCTGCATTCTGATTGGTTCGGATAGCATACTGCGGGAGGTCGGGGGCGCGGAAAATCGTGCAATATAGTGATTTAGAAATCGCGCAAGCTCAAATCGCGATTTTATGACGATTTCGATTAATCGCACAGCCCTAGTAGAAATGAGATGCTGTATAACAAAACAGACGTCATTTCCCACTATGTTTATACATTTTTTTCCCCTAACCTTATTAAATGTGTCATCTTTCACATCAAATTACACAGACTGTTTGATGAAGCTGAGAGGTGCCATAAATGCATTTACACCGCAAAATTGCAAATGCATAAATAGTTTTATAAGATTAATATTTTAAATAATTGTTTGAACATACAAATAAGTAAATCTGGGGAAAAATGCAAATGACTTTGATAAATTATAAGTTGCCATTTACACTAAATGCAATAAAATCAGCATTATTCTCACGCAAGAATTTTCGGTGGTCAAGTTTCAGTGCTTCCCAAGTTATTTTAGTCATTGACATTTTAATCAGGCTTCTTGTCTGGTCGGGCAAGTAAAATTCTCTCTCACATGCCCCTTTAAAAAAATCTACTTGTCCCAGACAAGCGTTAATCGAGCATGGTTTACTTTTGCTCTACACGTATTGCTAAATGCAAACTTTGTGTCTTCTTTCCACGCCGACAACATGTTTAGATACGGATGTGAGCATAGTTGTGATGTCAAAACGGATCATGCAGAAAATCGGCTAATTCCGGTCACTTCCCGGTCGATCAGTGCATCTCTATTAATAATATAAAAAGGGTGGGCGATGAGACTAAACTCATATATCACGATATGAGTCATTTTATTTCAAGATAACGATATACAGTATCTCACAGAAGTGAGTACACCCCTCACATTTTTGTAAATATTTTATTATAATCTTTTCATGTGACAACACTGAAGAAATGGCACTTTGCTACAATGTAAAGTAGTGAGTGTACAGCTTGTATAACAGTGTAAATTTGCTGTCCCCTCAAAATAACTCAACACACAGCCATTAATGTCTAAACCGCTGGCCACAAAAGTGAGTACACCCCTAAGTGAAAATGTCCAAATTGGGCCCAAAGTGTCAATATTTTGTGTGGCCACCATTATTTTCCATTACTGCCTTAACCCTCTTGGGCATGGCGTTCACCAGAGCTTCACAGGTTGCCACTGGAGTCCTCTTCCACTCCTCCACGACGACGTAAATCAGATGGACTTACTGAAAATGTAAATTCATTCTCTACCAGCAGGAGGTGCTTTAAAGCGGGAGAAACAGGTTTCCCCAGTAATGGCAGTACACAAAGCAGTGCTGAGCTCACAAACGCTGCTTTATCAGGCATATAACATGCAAGATGAAATGAAAATGACATTGAAAATTTTCTACAGGTAGTCTTCCTTCAGAAATACAGTGATATAAAAACACCCGCGCGTTTTGATTTTTAAATGTGCAGTACGTGCTCATGTTTATTCAACGAAGCCTTTTGGAAAATCGGTCAGTTTTGATATTGTGACGAGCGCCACAAATAAATAAATGTATGGGAAACATCCCACAGCACAACCACCTGAGCCCAACTTCAGTCTACTCATCACCTTAACTACGTTTGTAGCCGGCGCCATAGCCAGACTGATATACAAACGCAGACCGGAAGTTAACTTTGGACCATGAAACAGTCTATATAAAGCATCAGAATCGGCTGATCACCATGACAAGAAATCGGTACTCAGTATCGGCTGCAATAATCCTGATCGGAGCATCCCTAATTATACACATATGTATGTGTATGTATGTATGTATATATATGTATATATATGTATGTATATGTATATGTATGTATATACGTACACACACACACACACACACACACAGTTTCGTATTCAGAAAGGAACATTTGCACATCCACACTTGCATTACAGACAAATACATTATCATTATCGCAGATAACACCGACAGTCCTTTCTCACCTTTCCGGGTGTTCTCCGTCACATCCACCCCAAACTGAATGATGTCACCGGAGAGCACCTCACAGGGAGGGCTTTCCTCCGACCCCCTGCTCAGACGCTGGCTGTTGATGAAGGTGCCATTGCTGCTCTTGGTGTCCTGGAGATAGAACTGAGAAGAGGAGAGACAGAAAGATTACAGAGGCGTCAAATACAGCACTACACTGAAGAGTGCAGAACAAACGTCCTAGCAGAAAGACAGCGATGGTTAAAAAGAGGAAGTACTTGCAATGACCACGAGGTGAAACAATCGGCTACATTTAATGCAGAGCACAGAGTTTATAGAGGTCGACAGGTTCATTGATACAATATAAAGGTTATAACACATTGTTAAGGCAAACGTGAAACATAAAAACCTATAATTTAACTAGACTGGTAAAATTATACTCTTATTGCCTCAGTTTTGTTATTGTTAACAAAAACTATTAAAAATAGTTTTATCTATATAAAAAATTATAATATATAAATATTAAATGAAAAAAAAAAAAAAAAAAAAAAAAGTTGAAATAAGTTTAAGTACTAAAAATAAGCCTGAAATAAATATTTGTGCTGTACAGAAATATTCAAAAAAGCTCATAAAAATGACAAAAGCACATAATAAAATTACTAAAACTGAAACTAAACTGAAATACAAATATTAATAATTCAAATATTAATAAATAGTATACAATGAGAACAACTGCTTTTAACTGAAATACGTTTAAGTACTAAAATGACTGACACAAATAAAAATTAACACTATACAAAAATATTTAAAAGCAATAACTATTAAAGTTATTTTTTAAAAATGCTTTGACTGCTGAAAATAACCAATACTGTCCTTAAGTGTTGACCAGGCAAGCTCTCAACCCATTTACTCCGCCACATGATTGGTTTGAGCTACACACATAACAAAAAACAGCCACCAACTGGCTTTGAGCCATCATGAATTGTGATTGTTTCGTGTACTTTATTGAACTCCCTGAATTTCCTTGTTCAGCTGGATGAATAGACTCACTGTCAAACACAACTACAGTATGAGTGACATTCATTAATTCCACCAGCATCCCACATCGCACGTCACATGTGGGCATCGCTGCTAACAGGTTCATCGGGTTAAGCCACAGGATAAATGCTGTCTCCTTCAATGCACCCAGATTAGACCCACAAACCTGACTTTGAGGAAACTGCTCATGCTGACAATGTTTATCAAGCATTTTACTTTACATTATGCTACTGATTGGCCATATGATCGAGCCAGAGTCATATCCTCCATCATAGCGGGAGTGAAATGTGATATCTGTGTTTGTCTTACGTGTATTTTGGCATGATTTAGCTCATGTGCATAAAGAATTAAGCCAGTTTTGATTCAGAAATACATCTTTATCAAAGCCAGGCAAGAGAAACGAAGCAGATCTGGTTCACATAAGCTCAAGGTTTGATATGCCACATTTAGCAGGATCCTACATACGGTGCTTCAATTTTCCTTAGTGACTTTAAAAAAACAGAACTAGTAAGTGTAGAAGCAAATGGAGAAACACAAATGATACAGCATATTCCCTCCTATTTCCTCTTGCTAACGGTTGTGCTGACTGTATTCTGAGGTTATTGTGGTCGTAGATCTCATATGTTTTACTTTTTTTTTTTTTTGTTTTGATTCAGAAATACATCTTTATCAAAGCCAGGCAAGAGAAACGAAGCAGATCTGGTTCACATAAGCTCAAGGTTTGATATGCCACATTTAGCAGGATCCTACATACGGTGCTTCAATTTTCCTTAGTGACTTTAAAAAAACAGAACTAGTAAGTGTAGAAGCAAACGAGAAAAAAATGGAGAAACACAAATGATACAGCATATTCCCTCCTATTTCCTCTTGCTAACGGTTGTGCTGACTGTATTCTGAGGTAATTGTGGTCGTAGATCTCATATGTTTTACTTTTTTTTTTTTTACAATTTTCTAAAAGCCCATAATGTTAATGTCATTTATGCATAAGCAGGAACTGAGTAAACATGAGATTAATGAAACTCGATAGGCAGCACTACATGATAGCAACATTATAAGCAACAAAAATATTAACATTTTATACTTCAATTAGATACTAACAAACAATATCTACTGATATGTTAAGAATTATTTAATGAACATATAAATACAGGTAATATTATCAAATACATTTGAATTAGTTCTACACTAATGCAGGGATTCCCAAACATGTTTGCCAGCAAAAGCCCTAATTTATCCCAAAATATTTTCATCAAATACGCCCTGAGATTTTAAGGCAATTCATATTTCAATAATTTAACAATGTTCTGGCTTCTCTGATGTTGGTTAATGGTTACATGGCATGCAGGTAAACAAATATGTAATATTTTATAGTAACCGTTTTATTTAGATTCTTTTTCATCTAAAATTAATATTATAAAATGTATTTTTTCAAAACTGTAAATTATTGATTTACATATTAGGGCTGCATGATGTGGTCAAATAAATTCTATTTTGTCATTTATTAATTTGAACTGCAATATGATAGACATTTAGGTAAGGAAAAAAAAAAGACCACAACAACACCACCAACAATACAATTATTTTATTAAATTTACTCTATAAAAAAAAGAAGACAAATCTATTACTACTGTAATAATTCAACTGTACTTTAAAATAAAAAAAATATTTTATAATTTAATTTTACACCAGTTTAAAACAATACCATCAGATGAACTTCAAACTACTTTACAACTGTTGTCTAATTTTTTTTTTTTCACCAGCCTTAGTGTAAAATACTTAATGTGTGATTTCTAAGCTATGATTATAAAGTCAAGTGGTATGGCATGTGTCACAGTGACTGTCAAGAAGAGGTCTACATGGAGGACCCGAGACCCGAGGACCCGACCCGGGATCCGTACGGGTTCGGGGCTACATTTTAAATGGTCAAGGTCCCAATCTATTACTTCGGGTCCCGGGTCTGTTTAACATTGTGCGTAATACCTGAGTCGATCGGACTCCGAGAACAGGGTGGGCGGGCGGAGTTAATGCACACGCACGGTGATAATGGATAACTGCATGAGTGATGTGAGAGCACAGAGATTATAGCAAATAAGTAAAGCTAACGTCAGCAACCATGGCACTGGACGAGCAATCGTTATTATAATCCAAATGGGTAAATAGTCTAGATTATTATGCAAGTTGACTCGAGATACAAAAACTGCAAAACTGCAAAGTCGCATTTGTCATCCTACACTGTGACAGCAGGTGAACTTTTGAAACTGGAATAATGAGTGGATTACGCATTTCAATTGGCAAGAGAGGAATAACACGGATGGAACTTTCTTGGCAAGGAGGATCGTGTGCATCACAGTCAGGTACAAGGGAGAAGGCTTCTTACATTAGGTAAGACAAAAAGTTTAATGTTTGCAACTTGTTTATCGACTTGTTAATAGCAATTTGCTGTGGAATATGTGCCGATCGGGTCCAGATGAATTTTTGGACCCGTGTAGACCTCTACTGTCAAGTGGCTACTACACAGGGGGTGAGTGAAATACAGAGAGAGGGAACGAGTGAGCGAGAAAGAGAGAGGGCTGATTTTTCTGTCAGGGATTCGCCCCCAGATCCCATCGTCAAAGAGCACATTAGCATTCCCAAAGAGAACTGGCGCTGCCACCAGCCTTCTGCCTCTAATGGCCTCTAACACATATCTGACTTAAACTTATTCAGCACATCTCTAACAGGTGACAGTATTCCTGAGAACAGCGTGAAGGTCATCATTCATTCTATAAGAAATCTCTTTATATTCTACCTAACTGAGTCCATGTGCAGACTGAAACTATTTTGAGTGCAGGTTTTATATAAGCTGTACAGAAAGGCAGTATTACCCTGTGCAAACAAGAGCAGAGAAGATTTGTGCAATTAACACTTCCAACACTGATAATTAAAAGGAATCATGGGAAGGAAGGAGGTGGAATATCAACTTCAGTTCTGCTGGTAGAATGGTTTAAGCAAGACATTTCTAAGCTAGTTTGATGGTTACGCCTGTTTAGAGAGCTGTCCGATACAAGACAACTAATATAGTAATGAATGCTATGCTCCTTTATTAAAAAATTAAATATGAATGCAATATTAACAAATTAAATAAAATGCCTTAATATTTGCAAAAAGTAGCCTTCAACTATTTCTCAAAATAAACAAAGTAAAAGTTTTTACAAGTAATTACTAGGGTTGAGTACCGAACTCTGTACTTTTAAGGGTACCGACCGAATTGCGTCGGTACTACAGAGTACCGATTCACGTTAAATCAATCGGTGCCAAATTTCGGTACCTGAGAACGCTTTATCTGGGCGCATACGCTACAGAGAGAGAAAAAGAGACCCTGTGACGTGATGTCACCCCTTCAACTTGTTCAAACAACACACAGGGCAAGCCGAAATGTTCTGAAGTGTGGTTACATTTCTAGGGCCATATGGTTTCTGCAAAAACGCGGACAGGATCGCGGAGTCCATTCATAAAAACGTAATTTACTCTATACACTCTTAAAAATAAAGGTGCTTCACAATGCCATAGAAGAACCTTTTTGTCTAAATGGTTCCATAAAGAACCTTTAACATCTGAAGAACCTTTCCGTTTCCCAAAAGGTTCTTTGTGGCGAAATAAGGTTATTCAGATTACAAAAACGCAAGAAAGAGATGGTTCTTTAAAGAACCTTTGACTGAATGGTTCTTTGTGGAACCAAAAATGGTTCTTCTATGGCATCGCTTGAAGAACCTTTTGAAGCACCTTTATTTTTAAGAGTGTAGCGCGGAATGCCACGGAATCCATCAATTTTGGACGAATAAAAAGTAGCCGCTGCCACTTAATTCGAATCGCGATATGAACTAGTGTCTGTGAATATTAAAATGCAAAAAGACAGTTTAAATATGAATCCTGCATGTTCCGCTTGCCTATGTATGTATGAATGGCGGAAACGCGGTTTTATTTACTACACAAATACTGAAGCACGCATGACGCTCACGAAAGTAAAAGTTTGTAGGGCCCTATTGTGTAAAATGTTGAAATTGAGACTTTTGGACTTATTTCTTTACTGAAATAAATGTTTTTGTAATTACACCGAGTAAAGTACCAGTTAAAATGTGAACGGTACC